GAAAAAGCGAGATTATCTCGGGTATTCAGTTATTAGTTTTTTGTTTTTGTTACAGCTTGAGATTTTGGATACACTGGGTATAATATCTGTCGGGGGCTTTTAGATTCTTCCAGGGTGATTGGCAGAAGAGGAGAAAGTTTTTTTTTCCCCGTCGAGGTGGTAGCTGCTGATATGGTATCTGTTCCGTACAGGAAGCCTTCTCTCATCCTTCTGTTATGCCCCCCCACTGTTGTGTAACATCTGTTACATAGCGGTTGTATGACTGTCTATGACTAGCTTTGACAGGCTCAGGCCAGCTTAGACAAGCTAAGACCAGCTTAGACAACCTTTGACAAGCTAATACAAGCTTAGACCAGCGGCCCGAGTGTCCCCACGTTAAAAACCGACCTTGTGTCACAACCTGGCTCAGTGGAACGGCGAAGGGGCAAGGTAAATCTCTGGTATAATATCTGTCAAGTTACAAGGACCTCAGACAGATACCCAAATAAATGATGAGTAATGTTATATTTTTCTAGCTTTGATAAAGACTAATTTTAAGATCACCAGCTTCGCAAGTATTGAACTAATGCAAGACACTGACATTTTTCTTACATTCGATTAAAATCTCCCGTTTTCAGGAGCATATATATTGTCATCCACAGACAGACTGTTTCGCTGTATCACAGCACATCAGTGTGGCTAGACGTCCGGTTGCGTCTAGCTAGAATCGAAACCCGATTGAATTGGAGTCAGTCGGGGGTTCAACCACTAAGCCGTTGGCGCACGGCAGGGATATGTATTTATGGCGACATAAGTTATCATGTTTCGGAACTAAAAAGTATACTTTAAATTAAACTTGAAGTTTTTGTTCCATTCTCAAGCGATCTTGCATAACTTAAAAAAGATTTACTTTTTTTAACTAAATAGTATTATATGGTTTAAGTCGGAGGAAGAAAGGGATTATGAAATTTTAAGATTGAAAATTGTAAATATAGTTTAAGGTATAGGTGTGGCTTTGTAATTTCTGCATGTCGATACTGGCTTCTTTATGCTACATTCTAATTGTACGCCTTTTCTGATCACCCAGCCGGGTATGGCTGAATATATATATATATATATATATATATATATATATATATATATATAGGTAACTACACTCGTCTCGGAAAACCTTCGGTTTCTTGATTTGCTAATGGTGAAATCAATTTCGAAGGAAAAAGGTCATAAAAAGAGTTAAGAATATGAACGTCTGTCGAAAATAATCGTATAGCATACAGGATGGATTTCTCGCCAATTAAATCATTAACCTTTGTATTTGTTTTTTGTATGAATAATTCATGAATTTGTAAATTAATTGCACCTTTATTGAAATTAAAATAACTGATCCAAGTGCAACTTTTTGGATAATAAGTATATACATTATATATAATTATTGAACAATATAGTTCATGACACTTTGACAGAAAATTTACCAGTAAAAAAGAATTCACTCATCACCATATTTGTACAAGAACGCACAATCGTAAAATTTAAATTCAAACTCAGCGTTGCGACTGCACGCTCCAAAAACAATAACTCATTTCTAATAGCATTTTTCGGATTACAATACATATATTTTCGTTGTCCTCTTATTACTGAGAGTAAAAACAAGAACAAAATCTATTCCATACCTGAGGATGTCTGTAGGAACAGACGAAAGCTTGTAAAAATAATAAGAACTTATGCAACAGAAATTTATAAAAACAAGGATCTTTTCATTCATAAACAGGTTCGGGGTTTTTGTATATTATTTGAATTGTTTGCGACGATGGATTTCTCGCCAATTAAATTATTAACCTTTGTATTTGTTTTTTGTTTGAATAATTCATGAATATATACATACGATATATATATATATATATATATATATATATATATATATAGTTTAGAAGTATTTAAAATGAGTCTAAGAGGATACGAGTTAAATTCGAAAAGTCCAGTTTCTTTTTTAAAACAGTTTCATCCAATGGAAGACAGAAAAACCACTAAGACACAATGAGTGTGTAATCAGGAGGACAATAGATAGCGATTAACATTGCATTTACATTTTTGCAGATTAAAATTGCCTGGAAAGCATTGAATACTGCAGTTGGTCAAGGAAGTCTTACAGATTTAATGGGGTTGATCCCAGTGCACCAATCGCCAATCAACTTGTCATTACCTTCCTGCATTTCAAATAATCTTGACATCTCAACTTTCAAATCAGGGTTATTTGTAATTTTCTCAATCCCCTTCTTTGTTATATTTGTGTCATTTGGTAGGGCAAGATCTTGGAGACTTTGTCTAGCACAATAATATCCGGACTGCCATTCTGCAGCACTCTGTCTGGAAATCTTAGTCTCAGAATATTGTGGGCTTTCCAACTTGTTCAATTCGTCTTCATGACACGTGCTCGTACCAAAGTTCTGCAACTTCATATTCATGCTTTATTATTATTATTTTCATTATTATTATTGTCTTGTAATTATTATTATTATTATTGTCTTATTATTATTGTCTTGTAATTATTATTATTATTATTATTGTCTTGTAATTATTATTATTATTATTGTCTTGTTATTATTATTATTATTATTGTCTTGTAATTATTATTATTATTATTATTGTCTTATAATTATTATTATTATCGTCTTGTAATTATTACTATTATTATTATTATTGTCTTATTATTATTGTATTGTAATTATTATTATTATTATTATTATTATTATTATTATTGTCTTGTTATTATTGTCTTGTAATTATTATTATTATTATTATTATTTTCTTGTTATTATTATTATTATTATTGTCTTGTAATTATTATTATTATTATTTTTATTGTCTTGTAATTATTATTATTATTATTATTATTATTGTCTTGTAATTATTATTATTATTATTGGTTTTGTAATTATTATTATTATTATTGTCTTGTTATTATTATTATTATTATTGTCTTGTAATTATTATTATTATTATTATTATTATTGTCTTGTAATTATTATTATTATCGTCTTGTAATTATTACTATTATTATTATTATTGTCTTATTATTATTGTCTTGTAATTATTATTATTATTATTATTATTGTCTTGTAATTATTATTATTATTATTATTGTCTTGTAATTATTATTATTATTATTGTCTTATTATTATTGTCTTGTAATTATTATTATTATTATTATTGTCTTGTAATTATTATTATTATTATTGTCTTGTAATTATTATTATCGTCTTGTAATTATTACTATTATTATTATTATTGTCTTATTATTATTGTCTTGTAATTATTATTATTATTATTATTATTGTCTTGTAATTATTATTATTATTATTATTATTGTCTTGTAATTATTATTATTATTATTGTCTTATTATTATTGTCTTGTAATTATTATTATTGTCTTGTAATTATTATTATTATTATTATTGTCTTATTATTATTGTCTTGTAATTATTATTATTATTATTATTATTGTCTTGTAATTATTATTATTATTATTATTATTGTCTTGTAATTATTATTATTATTATTGTCTTATTATTATTGTCTTGTAATTATTATTATTATTATTATTGTCTTGTAATTATTATTATTATTATTGTCTTGTAATTATTATTATTATCGTCTTGTAATTATTACTATTATTATTATTATTGTCTTATTATTATTGTCTTGTAATTATTAATATTATTATTATTGTCTTGTAATTATTATTATTATTATTGTCTTATAATTATTATTATTATTATTATTATTATTGTCTTGTTATTATTGTCTTGTAATTATTATTATTATTATTATTATTATTATTATTATTGTCTTGTTATTATTGTCTTGTAATTATTATTATTATTATTATTATTATTATTGTCTTGTTATTATTGTCTTGTAATTATTATTATTATTATTATTATTTTCTTGTTATTATTATTATTATTATTGTCTTGTAATTATTATTATTATTATTTTTTTGTCTTTGTAATTATTATTATTATTATTATTATTATTGTCTTGTTATTATTGTCTTGTAATTATTATTATTATTATTATTATTATTATTATTATTATTGTCTTGTTATTATTGTCTTGTAATTATTATTATTATTATTATTATTATTATTGTCTTGTTATTATTGTCTTGTAATTATTATTATTATTATTATTATTATTATTATTATTATTATTGTTTATTATTGTCTTGTAATTATTATTTTATTATTATTATTTTCTTGTTATTATTATTATTATTATTGTCTTGTAATTATTATTTATTATTATTTTTATTGTCTTGTAATTATTATTATTATTATTATTATTATTGTCTTGTTATTATTGTCTTGTAATTATTATTATTATTATTATTATTATTATTATTATTATTATTATTATTGTCTTGTTATTATTGTCTTGTAATTATTATTATTATTATTATTATTATTATTATTGTCTTGTTATTATTGTCTTGTAATTATTATTATTATTATTATTATTATTATTATTGTCTTGTTATTATTGTCTTGTAATTATTATTATTATTATTATTATTATTATTATTATTGTCTTATTATTATTGTCTTGTAATTATTATTATTATTATTATTTTTATTGTCTTGTAATTATTATTATTATTATTATTATTATTGTCTTGTAATTATTATTATTATTATTATTATTATTATTTTCTTCTTATTATTATTATTATTGTCTTGTAAGTATTATTATTATTATTATTATTATTATTGTCTTATTATTATTGTCTTGTAATTATTATTATTATCGTCTTGTAATTATTACTATTATTATTATTATTGTCTTATTATTATTGTCTTGTAATTATTTTTATTATTATTATTATTGTCATGTAATTATTATTATTATTAATAATATTATTGTCTTGTAATTATTATTATTGTCTTATTATTATTATCATTGTGCTATTATTATTATTATTAATAATATAGTCTTGTTGTTCTGGTGGCTCACGTTCAAATTACGTTCAAACACCGGTTCTCATTCGCTCATCGTAGTTAAGCGCTGTCGAGCCGGGCCAGTACCTAGATGGGCGACCGCCTAGGAATACCAGATGTTGTCAACGTGAACATTCGGGTTGTTTATTGGATAACGTCTCGGGATGATAATTCGGAGAGCCGTGTTCGAATTTCGGTTGGGTTCGTTATATTGACTTACAAATGCATCTGCCACTTTCCGCAAATCATGCTCAGTGCCCGCAAGTGGCCATTTTTTTTTCTTTCCTTTTATTTGACTCCAAGTTGGCATGGTAATCATGCAGGTTATGAAATCAGTTCTAATTGGTTTGATCTCAGTGTTTTAATGACCACTGGAATCACCTTGTCATCCCCTACCTTCCTTCCAAACAATATTGCCTTTCAACTTTCCAAATCAGAGCAGTTTGTAAAGTTCTCAATCACGTTCTTTGCTATATTTCTGTTCTTTGGTATAGCACTATCAATAATACGACGGTTCTTATAGCCTTTATTTAGCGCAGTAATGCCCGGATGGAAGTGGTGTATCATTGAAGATCTTAGTCCTATGATATTGTGGGTTTTCTAACTCGTGTAATTTTTTGCAACTTGGTATCGATACTTTCGACACAATAACTGATGCACATAAAGTTTGTTTTGGCTTGGTTTGTTCAACCTCAATGGGTTATTTAATGCCGACAAGATTTTTATAGCTTTAATGATGGATCGTATGTACGAGTTCCACTTAAGGTCTGGTTGGTTTCGTTGTTTTACGGCATATCAACCTCAATGGGTTATTTAATGCCGACAAGATTTTTATAGCTTTAATGATGGATCGTATGTACGAGTTCCACTTAAGGTCTGGTTGGTTGGCTTTTTTTTGGTTTGTTTTACGGCATATCAACCTCAATGGGTTATTTAATGCCGACAAGATTTTTATAGCTTTAACGATGGATCGTATGTCCGAGTTTCACTTAAGGCCTGGTTGGTTTGCTTTGGTTTGGTTTGTTTTACGGCATATCAACCTCAGTGGGTTATTTAATGCCGACAACATTTTTATAGCTTTAACGATGGATCATATGTACGAGTTCCACTTAAGGTCTGGTTGGTTTGCTTTGGTTTGGTTTGTTTTACGGCATATCAACCTCAGTGGGTTATTTAATGCCGACAAGATTTTTATAGCTTTAACGATGGATCATATGTACGAGTTCTACTTAAGGTCTGGTTGGTTTGCTTTGGTTTGGTTTGTTTTACGGCATATCAACCTCAATGGGTTATTTAATGCCGACAAGGTTTTTATAGCTTTAACGATGGATCATATGTACGAGTTCCACTTAAGGTCTGGTTGGTTTGCTTTGGTTTGGTTTGTTTTACGGCATATCAACCTCAATGGGTTATTTAATGCCGACAAGATTTTTATAGCTTTAACGATGGATCATATGTACGAGTTCTACTTAAGGTCTGGTTGGTTTGCTTTGGTTTGGTTTGTTTTACGGCATATCAACCTCAATGTGTTATTTAATGAAGACAAGATTTTTATACCTTTAACGATGGATCGTATGTACGAGATCCACTTAAGATCTGGTTGGTTTGCTTTGGTTTGGTTTGTTTTACGGCATATCAACCTCAATGGGTTATTTAATGCCGGCAAGATTTTTATAGCTTTAACGATGGATTGTATGTACGAGTTCCACTATCAAACACAATGGGTTATTTAATCTCGACTAGATTTATATTACTGGTAATATTTTTTTTCAAAAATTAATTTATAGTGATGTTTCTTTCCAAAAATATATTGACGGTAATATTTCTTTTTTCAAAACTATTTTTCTGGTAATATTTTTCCCCCAAAAAATGTGTTGCTGGTGATTTTTGTTTTTTAGAAATATTAATAATCTTTTTTTTTTACACGTTTTCACCCTAGTTTGGCGGTTAACTATTTGCTTATAGATGGTCCCCTAACAAGTGTTACCACCCCGGGTCAGGGTGGAACTGGGAACACCAGAAATTCAGAATTGGTTCCACGCTCCTCAAAACCTTATGTTGGATGTAGTTTATCGTCTTTCCCAGGACGCGGATGTAGTTTATCGTCTTATCCAGAACGGGCACATAAATGCGTACCTTAATATGGTGGTTAGCATTTGTTAACCTCTGATCAGGCGAGACATATTTTCAGTATTCAGCTTAAAACCTACATTTTTGCTGTGCTTTATGGTATTTGTATCAAGGCCAACCGCCCAGATATTATTATTAAAGACCACAAACAAAAACGGTGCCTCCTTATTGATATGGCAGTCCCTGCTGACTGCAATATATCTTTGAAGATATTCAAAAAGTTATCAAAATACAAGAACCTTGAAAGAGAAATCTCGAAAATGTGGCATATGGGAACATCAACAATCCCTGTTGTTGTTGGAGCCCTAGGACTGGTTGGAAAAGATTGCAGTAGACTAATTGAAGGGATTCCTGGAAGTCCATGCCTCAAGGAGATACAAAAAATTGTTCTGACAAGTATAGCCCACACTTTACGAAGGGCTTTATCAATGTAATTTTTTTTTTTTGTCCGTGGAAAGTATCATGACGCCATTTCCAACCTTAGGTCCCTGGGCGGGACCCGGAAAGAAAAGTGTAAACGCTAGAAATCAAAGAAAATAATAATAATAATAATAATAATAATAATAATAATAATAATAATAATGCTTGCTAACTAGGAATTATCAAGCACATATACAAAAATATTGTGTCAGCCCAAAATGCAGATTCTGTGATAAATATCCAGAAACGATTGATCATCTTGTATCAGGTTGTACGGTGTTGGCACCCACTGAATATAAAACCCGGCATGACAGAGTGGGCCAATATCTGCACTGGAAAATCTGTAATTTCTACGGGAAGAAAACTGAAAGAAACTGGTATGAACACCACCCAGACCCGGTTACGGAGATAGGACCTGTTACAATTCTATGGGACAACACAATACACACTGACAGAACAATCAAGGCCAACCGCCCAGATATTGTTATTAAATACCACAAACAAAAACGGTGCCTCCTTATTGATATGGCAGTCCCTGCCGAGTGCAATGTATCTTTGAAGATATTCAAAAAGTTGTCAAAGTACAAGGACCTTGAAATAGAAATCGCGAAAATGTGGCATATGGGAACATCAACAATCCCTGTTGTAGTTGGAGCCCTAGGACTGGTTGGAAAACATTCCAGTAGACTAATTGAACGGATTTCTGGAAGTCCATGCCTCAAGGAGATGCAGAAAATTGTTCTGACAAGTATAGCCCACACTTTACGAATGGCTTTATCAATGTATCATGACGCCATTTCCAACCTTAGGTCCCTGGGCGGGACCCGGAAAGAAATGTTTAAACGCCAGAAATCAAAGAAAATAATAATAATAATAATAATAATAATAATAATAATAAAAATAATGATAACAATATAAGGGTAAAATAAACAAAAATATCTAAGTTACGAAGAAAAATATGCAATAATATACTTACATAAAACAAACAATGTGCATACATTTAAAATATGTAAACACACATATAAATACATATTCAGATATAGAGAAGGATAATGGTATCCACAACAAAAACAGAATATGTCTAATTATTCAAGCAATATAACAATCCATACGCACACAAATACACCCACACCTGTATACAAACACAAACACACACGCACATATATATATATATATATACACACTTACAAACTTTTACACACACACACACACATATATATACACAAATTCCATATTCACATACTATAAACACATATATAAACACAAATGCAGACACATATGCACATATATAAATATGTATATATAGATATATACATACATACTGATATATATATACAAACATACATATATAGATATATGTATATATACATGTATATATACACACATATACACATCTATACACATAGAAAAATTTACATACACATACATGCACACACATACACATACACACACACACACACACACACATATATACATATATATAACTGTGTATTTTGGCAGCAATCCTTCATTTCTGCATGTATCATTTAAGACGAGAGAAAAGGTACTACGATTAAGCATTTTATTTTAATTTTTCTTGTGTCCGAACAAGTGTTTTCTTTGTTAGACACACAGTGTGTAGAAACTGTCCACAAGTTCTATAGTTCCGAGCGCTTTCGGCTATTCTTTTAGCCATTATCAAGGTTGATTTTAGTGTTGATTTTTAATTGGGTGCGTGGGTTTTGTGTATGTTTTTAGTGTTATAGAGATGTTTTGTTTTCCGAACACAATTGTGGCCGTGTTCGTAGTTAATATTATTCAGTGTTGGCTTTTTATCTTTTGTTATTGAGGTTTATATAAACACAGTACATGCATACATACATAGACGTACATATTGACATACATACATACACACATATGAGCAAACATATATATATATTAATATTGTATATATATATATCTCAGCGTTTGGATTTTAGAATTAAACAACATGTACCCCCCAGAATTTTAAATCCGGCCGCTAACAAAAGCCAATTAGTGAATACATCCGGGTCATCTATAGCGGCACACGCTATAACTAGCAGGGAATGTGTTGCTGGTTTGAGTGTTGACTGTTTTTCCATTCTGGCGAAGTCACACTCTGCATATCATTTGAAGGTTCTGAGTCCATTTACATCAAGTCCTGCAGGCCGTTTCTCTGTAAACAGAGATTGCTTGTTGGGCTTGAAAATGTGATTGGGCTCTAGTTCCTTCTATCATATATAATTTTTTTTTCCCTTTCCCCCTCATTGAATTTTTTTTTTTTTTTTTTAAGTTTATGATTAAATAATCACAGTGTATCAAACTTGAGGAGTACTGGGACGAAACCGCTTGTTTGTTTTAGTTCTTAGTTTTCATAATTATGTCCTTTACATTCCGCTTATTCCTTGATATAATATATATATATATATATATATATATATATATATATATATATATATATATATATATTCACACAAATAAAGTGTGTTCCAATAACTTGGTACAATTTTAAATGTAAATTAAGTTTAAGCGTTTAATAATTTTTTTTTTCAGTTTCAACAACTTAAGTCTTTGG